TCATTTTTTTCCTTATGGATTTATGTTTTGTAACATAGTAAAATAGGTATTTTAAGTAATTCATTCAATCTATGTTTATTATAGAAGAATTAGAAATATAGATCATGCAAAATTTTTGAAAAATTTAAATCCTGAGCACACTTTTCCAAAAGATAATCACCATTAATGTTTTAGATTACATATTCCTCAAACTCCTTTTTTTCTGTTTATGTATAGAGATGCATGTACAGGATTGTTGATTTTTAAAAAAAACAAATGTAAAGTCCATGGCTGTTTGTCCAAATCCAGCCAGCTGCCACCAAAAAAACCAAGGGAGGGGTTGTACTGTATGGGAGGGGGTGGGGGGTGACCTTGCTCTTGAACTGTAATTTGTGTGTGTCTGTGCAAGCATGTTAAGCATTTCTCTGTCTTGTATTCATTCACAGCTGTGATTAGTGCCCATCCCATCCATTCCCTCGATAACCCTCACCATCATTTCCACTCCAGCAGCCTCGCTTCTCCAGCTCGCAGTCATCTCTACCACCCAGGCAGCCCATGGCCCATTGGCACATCCTTGTCCCTTTCAGACAGGGCCAATTCCACAGGTGAGAGATGAGGATCGAGCCCCAGGTGGAAAGCATTCCAAAAGAGTTGGCAAGCTGAAATGGGGAAAGACTTGCCTTGCTTAGAAGGATTTGGAATTTTTCTCAGTGTTATTTATTTATCATAACATTTCTATTCCTGACTCAAATTTGTTTCTATAAAATTCACCCCACTCTTCTCCCAAAGTTTTAGGTGGTGTTTTAGTAAAAAAATAATAATAATAACTCTAATCACATAACCATGTCTTGTTCCATCAACTTGTATCTTAATTCAGTCATATTTTCAGTTTTATTTTTTTAAAATAAGTGTGAAAGGAAACTCATACTGGGTGATTTTCAGACACTAGAGGTTAGCTTTGCCTTACTGTCACCCTACTGTTGGGAGGGTCCATAGGGTAGCCATAGGTACTTATTATGTTAGGTCTTCCATACTTCTGCCATGGACCAGAGTAAGAACAGCATCCAGGGTGGTGGGGCCTCAGGTTGCCTAGTGGGTTACTGTAATAAGTAAAGGCTGCACAGGTAGGAAATTAGCCTAACAATCTGCAGTATATTTAAAGAAACACATTGCCAGACAAACATGTCCCAGTTTCGAAACCTTAAGAAACAACAAATCGAAACAGTTTTAAGGAGGAAATAGTGAAAGTGAGAGGAACAGATACTATTGTTCCTCATTCATTGAAAATTAATTTCCACCCTCAAGTTTTAAGAAGCAAATCTAGTAATGTCTCATATATACAGCATACTCTTTTTCCATCACTCAAAAGTTATTTGTTAATAGTTATGTTACTTGAAGAACTAAGTTTTAGTGGTTCTAAGGAATAAGAGAATTTCAAGTGAATTCCATTTTAAGAGAACCTCAAAACTTCATGCTAGAAATTTAGGTCACCAGTAACATCCCGCTCTTTTATATTGTGATCAATTATAAACATACCCAAAACATCAAATGAAGATCATAACTTTATTAAGGGATGCCCAGGAACTCCCAAAGTTTTCTCCTTTCAGATCTTTACTTGGTTTGGAGAATGCTGCTTGAACTCATGTCTGAAATTGACCTTCCTACTGTCTCCCTCCAAATCCAGGTTTGGGGTCCTGCCTTTAGGAAAAGACAGTGTACAGGAGGCTGGATGGAGAATCAGAGTTCTCTGACAGTCTCAGAAAGAACAGGGACTGGAAAGCAGCCTTCCAAAAGCTGCTCTTAGAAAGCAGTTTTGTGTCTTGACTCTGCTTCTCCATTTGTAATGCAAAGGAATCTCACCACTAGGATTCAGGCCTGCCTGAGTGCATGGCAGAGCCTTCCAGTCAGATTAGCCTTCTTATTCCCCTCGGTCTAAGAGTACATGAAGGTTGGCAAGCATAGAAGTTCCCACCCAGCCCTCATCAGGTGTTGGTAAAGGTTCCATTCTGTATGGACTTAGGCAGAAGTAAAGAGAGGAAAAAGTAATGATTTGCATTACTAATGGATACCTTGCTTTAAATGACCAAGGGAATAAAAGAAGGTAAACTAGTGATAGTCACTGAAGATGGGTTTGAAAAGTAGAACATGTATCTAGAAGTGATGAAAGTTCTCTTACTGCTGTATTCTCTCGTGTCTCTGGAACTCAGTGTTGCCACAAACCCTGTACATATGGCCTCAGCATGACCAGAGCATGGCCAGAGAGCTAAGTTCCTGCTCTAGAGAGCATTTACTTGTCTTTTCCTTAGATAGTTACTGTTACCATCACTTGATATAGGAAGAACACTTGCCACTCTTCCAAGTCCGTGGCTGGTGTGAACTTTGTGTATCTTAAACACCTTTGAGAGGTTGAGTAAGGAAGTAGGCCCCTTACTAACTGAAATTTTTGTTGCAGCACAGTTTTCCTCATAGGCCAGTGGGGGTGCACAATTTCAGGGTATACCCTTCACAGAGAATACAGTATGCCTGGTGCCCTCTGGAGTTGTACAACAAGGAACAGCACTGACTTGAGTAGGCTGCACTATCATTTTTTTCACATTTCCCACCATCTCTGTAGCCCTCAGAAGCTTATACACCATATTAAGGCAGTTGAGGCAGCCAAGAGGCCTGTGCGCCCAGAGTAACCTAACATATCTGTCAAAACAGGCTGACATGGTCCGGGCTGGAGTCTGCTTTCTCTCTCCTAGTCTCTGTGCCCCTCCCTAACCAGCTTCTACCCAGCCTAGATCACACAGAACAGGACCAGCAAGAGTAAGAAGTGAGATTCTCAGTGTTCCCCTTGAGAGAACGAGAAGTGTCCTAGGCTGGTAGAGTTGTCACAGCCATGCTCTCAGCACTTGAGGAGGGTCCCTGGGACCTGAGACCTTAAAGCTAAGGGGTAGCACTCATGACTGGCATGGCTTGTCTCCTGAGAGCACAGGGAAGAAAATGCATTGCTACCTCAGCAACAAAGGCAGGGAAATAGGTTAGATTTCTCCAGGTTTCTCATGCATGACTATTTAAATGGTTATTTTCCTTTTTAAGGGTAAGGATGCTAGGAGTCAGGGAAGGCCCTCCTTCAGGCCACCTGGTGCAGCCTGTTGCCCTGAGGTGGTGTCCTCCAGGCCTTACCTCAGTGTGGATGGTGGTCTGCACCAGCTCACATTGTTTTCCTCACATGTGGTCTCCCTGGGCCTTGGTGTTACTTCTGCCCTTGTAGAACTAAGGACGGTGGTACTGGGCATGGAAGGGCAGTGTAGTGTGTGGTGGTTCAGAGTGTGGGCTTGGGATTCAGGTTCCTGCTCTACCTGCTCTCACTCTATCTTTGGGCAATGCCTGTCCTTCCTGTACCTTCTGAAGTACTATGAGGATTGAATGAGCTAATGAATGTAAAGCATTTAGCATACTCCCTGACTTAGAGTAAGCACTCAGTAATTTATAAAGAAAGGAACCTTATCAGTTATTCAAGCCCTGTGTTCAGCACTTTTTATACATCTTCTCAATTAATCTCCACTGAATTATGTGTTATTCTCCCTGTTTTATAGGTGAAGAAACTGAAACTCAGATTCGGTGACTGCCAAGTTCACCCAGCTAGTATGCCAAGATTAGAGTCCAGGCCTGTCTGACTCCAAATCCAGTGCTTTTTCTACCCCACCATGCTGCCTTCCAGAACAACTCTGACCCCTCTTCACATCCTTTGAGATTGTTACTGTGGTCTTCCTTAGTCTTCCCCTTCTCCAAGCAGATCTGCCCCTATTTCTTTCTCTGGCCCCAAATGCCCTTCATCTGGCATAATTTTAAAGCTATTTGCAGATTTCTAGGCTGTTTGGTTGTCCAGGTCTTACTTGAGTTGTGGGGCTGTTGCTCTGGTGAGGCCGTGCACAGTCCCCCGAGGGTAGACAGAGCCTGTGGCTTTGCCTCTCCTACAGTCACCACCAGGACTTGCAGGCAGAGCTGGTACTACAGGTACCCAGCCAGCCTTGGTGACTTGACATGTTGTTATCTATGAAAGGCCAGTCACTAAGACCGTCAGTCAGTGAGTGAAATTTTTAATTTTCTTCATATATCTTAATAGACAATAATCTTACAAACCTTTATATATGCTCCGTAAAAAGTACCAAGGAGAACTTTAAATCTATAAAATCATGACCACTTAACCTGTGTAGGTGAAAAAATTCCAGCAGCTGGTTGACAAAATTGTTTGGAACTCTTTTAGATTAGTCCATTCTTACTTAGCCTTGACAGTGGTGCTAATCCCTGTTCCCTTAACTAGTACTGGTCCTAAGTACTTACTAAGCTGGTTTTAGGGGCCCTTCAAAGTAGTAAGAACCCTGGGATGTTTATGTGTTTTAACATAAACACATACGTTTAATGGTTTTTAAAAAATGCTAACATTCAGACTTTCCTGCTATAGAATCCGTTCGAAATACCCCCAGCACTGACACCATGCCAGCCTCCTCTTCTCAAACATGCTGTACTGATCACCAGGATCCTGAAGGTGCTACCAGCTCCTCTTACTTGGCCAGCTCCCAAGAGGAAGATTCAGGCCAGAGTCTTCCTACAGCCCACGTTCGCCCTTCCCACCCACTGAAGAGCTTTGCTGTGCCGGCAGTCCCACCCCCAGGTCCTCCCACCTATGATCCCGCGCTGCCAAGCACACCATTACTGTCCCAGCAAGGTGAGTGAGGGCAGCAGCACCGCTGGAGGGACCCTTTGTCCCTGGCTTATGGCAAAAGTCACCTCTTTCAAGAATAACAAGGCAAATATCCTCCCAGCTTATCCCAGCAATTGAGTAGCAGGGTGTCATTGGCCCTGTCTGGGAGGATATGGCTTCCCTCCTTTGGGAATGGATACAAACCAGAGAATGATTTGGTAGGGAGCAATGCCTGACTTTTTGAATTGTGTTTTGGGTGCAGAATCCTTGATGGTAAAATCCAGGCTTGAAACATGGAGGAGCCTTGGGAAATGAACCCTGGAAAAGGGAAGGCACTTCTTAGAATTCACACAGCTCAACAAAAGTTCTCTGACTCTTACTTTTTTCCACATTTTTATTTTTATGGTGGTTTGTTTCAAAATAAGTCATATTTTCAGGCTTTGGTCTCAGGACCCCTTTATACTCTTAAAAGCTTTCGAGGCCACAAAAGAGCATTTCTTCAATATTTACTGTATTAGAAATTAAAACCAAGAAATTTTTAAACTTTTATTAATTCAGTTAAAAATAATAAGACTTCTATCATGTTAAGATTAATAGCATAATTTTTTATGAAAAGTAACTCTTTTAAAACAAAAATACAGTGAGAAGAGTGACATTGTCTTATATTTTTGCAAATCTCTTTAATGTCTGGCTGAATAGAAGGCAGCTCTAGTCTCATACCTGCCTCTGCATTCAGTCTTTTGTAATATGTTGTTTTGGTTGAAGTATAAGAAGATTATCTGGCCTCACAAATATGTAGTTGGATAAGGAAAGAGTATTTTTATAACTTTTTCAGATAACTGGATATTCTTTTTTGAGATTACAGCAAAACTTGACAGGCTATAGTTTCTTATAGATTGGTTTGTAATAAACCATATCCATGAACTATTCATACTCCTTTCATTAAAATCCATTTATTGTATACTTTAAATACACAGTATTAAACACATTGGTAATTTGGAAAATACTGGTTTGCTAAGTTATGTAGATCCTCCAAATCTTGATGCATTTCATTATACAATATCTAAAAATACATACATTAATATCAAAGTCTGCACATATTGGGAGGCTCTCAAGCTCATGGTGGCAGATAAAAGGTTTTCAAAATTTTAATTTTCACTTGAAACTTAAATTTTATCATTGGCAATAAAATACTGTCCATTGTTTGTTTTTCTTTTAAGTGACTGGCTTTCTTCACTTGTTTTCTAAAAAAATATCGCCAAATGCTCAAGCCCAAATAACTGGTTCATCAAGTTCTTCGAACTAACATTGGTGTTCCTTGATAAACATGACTTTGCAGCTCACAACCCAGGCTCTCACATATGCTGTATATAAGTTAGCCATCATACTCTGGTGTATAACAGAAGTACTTCATGCCTAATTTCCATTTTGTTACAGGATATTTACAAGATGTGTAGTCAGGGTTGAGGTTTAATGAAATAATTCTTACCATTTCATTAAGGATGGTCTTAAGTTAAACTATTTTTTAAATTGCAAGTGTGTGCCAGTGAATGACTTTACAGTTTGTTGCCATTCCCTTAATTTGTGCTAAGGCTCCAGCATTTTATACAATAAGTGTAAAAGCAAAACATGTCTCAGTGTTATTATGAAAAGAATTTTGACCTCCCAGACATCCTACAAGGGGTCCATGGACCACTACCTTTTGAGACCCACTAGGAGATTAGTCTTTTAAAGCCAAACAGAATATTTTCTCTGGCTCTTGGATGCCCCACTTTGTCCCTCCTTCCATCTTGTTCCACTGCCTTTTCAGAGTAGGGTCACTGCAGAGTCTGTGTGTTTCCCACACCCTGAAGCAGCATTTGGACCATAGATCCCTTTGCGAGGTCTAGGGGGAGTAGGCTCGGTCACATCCCTGAAGGTGCCCTTTCCCCTCAGCTCTGAACCACCACATTCACGCGGTGAAGACGGCCTCCATCGGGACTTTAGGAAGGAGCCGGCCTCCTATGCCGGTGGTGGTCCCCAGTGCCCCTGAAGTGCAGGAGACCACAAGGATGCTGGAAGACTCCGAGAGTGTAAGTTCACGGGGCCATCAGCTCAGCCAGGATGTCTAGGAGCATGTCCCAGGGCCTGCGCTTCTGGTGGCACTGACATTCTATGCTGGCCCAGAGATGTGAAGCAGATTCACTCATTTAGCAGACATGCACTAAGCATCTCCTCTGAGCTGGGGAACTGTGCCAAGGGTTTGATCTTTCTCTCATACGCACTCTGGTGTATCTTGGAATAGCTTGCTTCACCAGCCCAGCTAGTGACTTTTTTCCCCCCATCCACCTTGCCACCTTCTTTTTAGTTCTGTCCTCTCTTTCTGGTCCTCTTTTCTTGGTTTGAACCATCCGCATGTTCTTTCACCCCTCAGTCCCACTTCATGACCTTTTCTGAGCAGGATGCTAGAGGGGAGGGTGCTTGAGTGGCTGCTGTCAGACCAAAAATTAACAGGGTCTGTCCTTGATCTTTCCCTCTCCGTGTTCTGCCTCTCTGTCTCCAGGTACAGGACTCTCTAAGGAGGAAAGCTTGGGGCCCAGAGATCAGGGGACATACGAACTGTGTTGACTGTGACAGAGACCTTGACAGGCCGAGCAGTGGGGTCTCTGGCCTGTGAGGTCATTGTGACCCTGGGCAGAGTGTGCTGGGGGAGCCACATTGCAGTGTAAGAAATGAGTGATTGTTGGCTTGGGAGCATAGTGACCTTGGCACCTTCTACAATCTCCAACTCTTCTGGGCCAGCCAGGATTTCAGTAGTCCAGTCTCAGGGCAGTTTGACTGTTGCAGAAATGTTGCAAAAATCAGACCAGTGAGAAACCAAGCAGCACTCAGAGAGTTGGAGAACTCGGGTTTATTACACCAGCAGTCCCAGAGGAGCTAGCACTCTGAAGATCTGGGCCCCAAGCTCAGGGGCAACTTTGCTTTTATAGGGCTTAGTTGGTATGGGCCGATTGGTTAATTTGTCCTCAGGAAGTTACAGAGCTGTGGAGTTGCTATGGGTGGCAGACAGTTACAAAGAGTTACAAAGTGCAGGAGTTGCTATGGGTTACAGGCAGTTATATTTGTTATTTAGACAGAACAAGCAAAAGGGAGGATGAGTCTTCAGTTAATTTCAAGGTCACCCTGTCCTACAGCCTAAGCATATCTACAGACGCAGAACAAGGAGCTGATTATAAGGTTAGCCTTTTGAGTGAAAATTCTTCTTCATGACCACTGACCACTGACACCCTCTCTGGGCTCTCCTCCTGGTCGGCTCCTCGGGTCACAGCCAGTAACAGTGTTCTCTTCTCTGTAGAGCTATGAACCAGATGAGCTGACCAAAGAGATGGCCCACCTGGAAGGACTGATGAAGGACCTAAACGCCATCACAACAGCATGACAACCTTCACCAGGACGTGACTCCAGACCTGAGTCTAGAAGTCTTGGGACTTAGCCTTGAAAACGAGGAATTGTACAGAGGACGAGAGGACAGCACTGAGAACACAGAGTGAGCATGCAGACCAGCCAGGCCCCCACGCGGGGCTGGTTCCAGGCATGGCCACCTGCCTTCTCCTGGTCAGCCTGGAAGAAGCCCTTGTCAAGGCAGCTTCCCTTTGCCTGCTGATACCCTGCAGGACTGGGCACCATGGGCCAAAATTTCGTGTCCAGGGAAGAGGCAAGGAGTGCAACCTACATTTCACTTTGTGGTCAGGCTGTGTCTTCGTGCTGCGACTGCATCGCCTTTATGGAGTATAGACATCGGCATTTATGTACAATTTTATTTGTGTCCTATTTTATTTTGCCTTCAGAAGAAAAATACTATCAAAACCAAGGAAGTCCGTGGTGTTCTCCACAAGTGGTTGGCATTTGACTACTTGTTTGAATTATGTATGGAAAGTCATGACAGTGTGGGTTGTTCCAGCGGTTGGCTTGTTTTTTGTTTTTGTTTTTATTTTTTAATTCTGAGTCATTGCATCTTCTACCAGCTGTTAACTCATCACTTTGAGGGGGGAGGAAATGTTGCATTGCTGTTTGTAAGCTTTTTTATTATTTTTTTATTATAATTATTAAAGGCCTGACTTTCTCCTCTCATCACTGTGAGATTACAGATCTATTTGAATGATATGTAACATTGAAAAGACTTGTTTGTTGCTTCTGTGCAGTTTCAGTATTTGGGTGGGGGTGGGCTGGGGGGTTGGGAATAGGAAATGGAGGGGCTGCTGAGGTCCTGTGAATGTTTCAGTCATTGTACTTTCTTCCAGAAGCCTGCAGAGAATGGAAGCATCTACTTTATTGTACTTTCCTGGCATGTCCATCTCTATTGTCATTAAGTTGCAACTGGAGTTTCATTTGGATCTAGTTTAAAATTTTTTCTGTGCAATAGGTGGGTTCGAGGAGTTAGCTGCCCTGATGTCTTGGTCAGGTCCTGATAAGAATGTCCATGCTGAGCGGTCAGGTGCCATCTTTCCACTTGCAGGAATGATGCGGAACAGGGCGAGAGCTTGACACCCCGTTCCTGGGAAACCAGAGAAAACGACAGAGGCCCTTTCCTGCTGTTGTCGTGTGTTCCCTTTGGGGAAGTTGAAAGTTAAGGAAGGAACTTTGTTTCCACTTAGGACTCCTTGCTTCTCTCCAGTTCCTGTCCTCAGCCAGTCCAGCTCTCACCTCCACGTTTGAGGCAGGCAGGGGCTGCAGTACCCATGAGGCTCCCCGCTTCTTTCTGAACATTGTTCTTTAAGTAGCAGGGGAAAGAGCAGAGAGGGACACAGGAGGCAGCTGCTCCCTTCCTCTATCCAAGCAGCTCAGCCATGCCGCTGGTTCGAACAGGGCGGCGGGAGGTTTCTGAGGTAGACTGAGTGGCCTGGCCACACACAGAAGCCTTTGCCTTTGCAAATAGTTCTTGTCTTCTTTTTCTTAGAAAAGTAAGAAGCTGGGGTGTTTTTCTTTTTAATACGAAGACTCTTATTATGAAAAAATACAGGACTGACCCTCAGACATCTTCCTCTACTCCCCAACAAATCCCCAGAGGAGCGTGTGGAAGGCAGTGTAGAGGGCCGATGGGCTGTGGTCCTGTAACCAAGAAGAGGTGAGCTGCTGAGGTCTGCAATGGGGACCCCAGCCCACGTGCCCTGAGCACGGCCCAGCCCCACGGGCATCCCACTTGCCTTTGTGCATTGGTTCTTTCCCCTTTTTAGGTCTTCTCACACGTTTGCTTTTCTAGACGATGAACGCTTTGTATTTATTATTCTGGGGCAATGAACAGTGCAGTGCTGGAACTCCAGCTGCCATGCTGGCTGGTCACAGAGGACAGTGCCAGGCGGGGTTCTGGAAAGCCAGCGCACTCAAACTGATCCTGAAAAGAGCACTCCGAGCACCCTGGACACCAGGAGGGCTAGATTCCCCAGAAGCTGTCTTACCTTTCGCCCAAAGAAACATGCTCGGTATTCAGGGCATTCCCTCCCGCAAACCCTGACACTTCTGTTACCTCAGGGCCTTGGTACCTGGACACTGCCACAGAGCTGGGGCGGGTGGGGGGCCTATTTTTAAATAAAATAACTGCTCAAAGTTGGGGATTTTTTTAAATTAAGAAAAAGGAGAGCTATTCTGTATTGCACCTTTTCACAATTTAATACATTTTCTTACATGTCCTGTGATTTTTGAAATGAAACCATCGCGTGTCTTGTAACGTCCTAGTTGAGCGGCTGCTCAGCAGCTTCCTTCAGGGGGATTTGGAACAAATGTGTCACTGCCTTGTTGCCTGCTGGAGGGGCCTGGAGGGCTGCTGGGGACGAGCTGCTGTACACACTTGTTTGGCCTTTTCTGTAGTTGATGCTGTAAACTCTATGGCTTTTTAAAAAACATTTTCATGTTTTTATTTAGTATTGGAAATCCAATACACTTTTTTTAATCCAATCAAACACTGTCTGGTCAAAGAGTTATTTTCCTTTTCCCTTAAGAACGCAGAACTTGGGGACCCCTGTTTCCCAGCCTCAAAGTGACCTCACCATCACCCTCACAACCATAAAGACAGGAGCTCAGAGGGTCACCGGGGAGGTGTGGCCAGTGAGCCAGACTACAAGTGGAGATCTGGTCATCCACTAGGTCCAAAGATGAGTCGTCCCCAGCGCTGTCCCACCATTGCTGCCCTTCAGGGACCAAGAAGTCTGAGGAATCAAAGGTGGCGCCTGTCAGAGCCAAGTGAGCTCAGCAGAAAAGTACAGCCACTCCTGAATGATGCGAAGGCCAGGTCCCTGCCGTGGCAGCAGCTCGTTCTGTTGGCACACAGACGGCACCCACGCCAGGCCTGGGCCTTCCCGCTCGCTCCCAATCCTGTGTCTCATGGCGTGTGACACCTGGAGCAGGTGTTTCCAAGGAACCCTGCCTATCCCAGGCTGCCTCACCTGACAATGTTCAGGCTGCTATAACCATGGACTGAGGGGCTTGAACCACAAACATTTCTTTCTCATAATTCTGGAGGCTGGAAAGTCCAAGCTCAGGGTACCGGCAGATCTGGTATCTGGTAAGGGCCTGCTCCCTGGTTCATAGATTCATAGATGTCTTCTTGCTGTGTCCTCACGTGGCAGAAGGAAGAGCTCTCTGGGATCTTTTTTATAAGGGCACTGATAGCATTCATGAGGACTCCACCACCGTCGACCTCATCACCTCCCAAAAGCCCCACCCTCGTATATCATCACATTGGGGATTAGAGTTCAACATAAATTTGGGGAGACACGAACATTCAGTCCATAACATTAAGATTTCTCAGGTCTCCGAATAGTGATGAACAAACACAACAGCCATAGGCTTGCTCTCTATGAACTTGCAACAGGGTGAGGGCTGGATGTGGAGCCTGGTGTCCTTACTAACTGCTCCCCTTGGCCCCAGGACTTATCTGCTTTGCTGCCGAGTGTACTTTATGAAACCCAAGTCCCATCATTCCCATTAATGGTGCCCCATGGGCCTCTGGATGGAATCGGAACTACCAGCGCTAAAGTCTCTGGTAGTCTGCCACAGCCTCCAAGTCCAGGCTCATGCCACGTTGTGCACCCAGTATCCTAGTCGCAGAGAGCTGCTTGTGAAACACTTGTAGTCTTTGCATCTAGAACGCACTCTCCACTACCACCACTCCTGTTCTAACAGCCAGACCCCACCGTGCTGGCCCTCTTCTGCATCTGTAGATGGCGCTCTTGGCACATTTTACAGTGATTTGTGTGTTTGGGTCTTTTGGCCCTGGACTAGAACGTGGTGGGGACATAATTTCTCACCCCTCCCTGAGTGCCAAATGCCAGGGGCAGGCAGTTTCTGACAACAGCAAAGGTTGTCTCCTGGATGGATGGACAGATGGGAGGACTCATGGCCTGGATGGAGCACACAGGAAGGCATTCCCCCCTACCCACACCACTCACCCTCAAAGAGATCCCAATAGGTCCCTAGCGTTACTGGTGCTGGAACCCTTCCCTTCCCACAGCCATGGTGTCCTGGGATGAACCTGAAAGAAAGATCTGTCTGGCAGAGTTATAAATGATACCGGTGCCAGTATCAAGTGCTGGGAACTAGGGCAAGGATGTCCTTCAGAATGGGTTTAGGATGAAAATTATGAACGAGGCTCTTTGTGAAGAAGAAACACCCTCTCTCCCCAGTCCATCAGCCCCTCTTCATTTCAGCCACCTCCCTGTCAGGGGCATATTCTCATCAGGAGAGACTGAAGAATAGCCATGAACAGCCATCAGATTGATGGGGAAAGGGCACGGGCAGGGGCTAGAGAAGCAAGGAGCCGTGAGGGGCCAGCCCTACCCACACAAAGGGACCCCAGACAGCAGTTGCCCAACTCTTCACCTTGAGTTTCTAGCTATGAAAGAACGAAGTTTACCAGAGGGCTGGAAGCAGAGATGGCAGACAGTAACTGAGAAAAATAATTTTCATTTTTTTATAATCTTTAAAACAACATAATATTGAAAAAATGACATTTAAAATTACAATTACCCTCTAAACAGAGTGGGTGATGTTCATCTAAATCTGGTTTTGATGGTTTCGGGAATGAAAGATGGGTCTAGGGCTGAGCTCAGATAGGGTTGGAGGGAGCTCTTGCTGCAATACAGCCTAAGAAGAATTTGAAACTTCCTGAAATAATTGGGGGTGGGAACATAGCACTGGCAGCAGGTATGATCAACAAGGTGTTGAGAGAATGAAGGGCTAGATGGAAAGGTACCCGCAGTGAAATGGCCGTCCTTGAGGCGCCCCAAAGGACTTTTTAAAATGAGAAGATCTGAGAGGCAATCTAATGCAGTTCGCTCTTTGTACCTCTCTGACGTAACCCCCTCCAACTCCCTACATCTTGTGTAAAGTCAGCCATACGCACAAAGCCTTGCACGAGTGACTGGCTTCTCCTCAATTATGAAAGGGGCAACGGGACCAACCTGTTGATGGACAGACCACGAGTCTGGCATGGCGAGGGGGACCATAAATGGAATGAGTTCACTCAGAGCCAGAAGTGACCAAAAGAATCTAAACTTGAGAATCCATAGAAATCCAGGAGGCAAAGGGGAGACCTTTTATAAGTCAAAAAATGTGAATTCCAATGAGATTGAGATTCTCAAAATCTTATCCAGATTTTAAGAGGCTAACTTACCTCAGGGGATGTCTGGGTTGCAATCATTGTACATGTCCACACCCTCCATCTCAGTGTCCTGGAGCAAAGCATCGTCACTATGTCGTAGGTATATATAGCTGAGTGCCCACCCTTTGTTAATGGGTCTACTTTCTATGGACCTGGTCTCCCAAAGGAGCAATCTAGGAGCCATTCTAAAGGCTTCCCTCGACACCGCAGCACATGGCTCAGCAAATCCTGCAGCTCTGACCCCCAAAGTGGCTCCTCTTCGTCGTCCATTGAGCCAACTCCTCCTTGACTCCACCACCTCAGCCTCACAAGACTGTGGAAGTGATTTTTCTAACTCCAATCCAACCTCTCCCCCCTGCTCAACATCGTGCAATGGTTCCCCTGTCACCTGCCCTGAAGAATGGAGTCTCACGTGGCCCTGTCTGCCTCTGTGCTTTTATTTGCCACAATCTTCCCCTCGCCCAAGTTTGGCCCTAGCAATAGAGAGTCATTTGGACCTAAAGAATAA